GACCCTTTGACAGGGTGGTCTGCAGTTAACTTCATGTCCTTATTGATCAGGTGATTCAGCTGATTGATTGAGTCCATGTTGATGGATATGAGGTGAGTGACTACAGGGAAGGTAACAACTGCAGAGGGGGCGGGTACTTCAGTGCATTGCATATGAATTGTGCTGACTTTCTGCTTTAATTTGAGGGGCAATACATCGATATTAGTACATATTTTCAAATCCTCTCTAACCCAAATACAGCTATCTTCCCCTTGTGTGTTCTGCCACACCTGTGCTACATCCCTTTTTATTTTCAGCATTATTAACTGGCTTTTTGCCTCCAATCTTCACACATTTTAAACTTAAGGTTGCACATCTTCTGACGGATATTGAAATTGCAAAATGAAATGACATTTTTAGCTCGTAAAATACAGTTGAAATACTTGGACCGTTAATTCAGAAGGTATTTTTACGATGTTTTCCTTTACCAAATATTGTGCCTACTGCAATTTTAATACTGAACTAGTCCATAATGTGATTAATTAGTTACACGGCCCTATGCATAATGACAGGTTGTATTGAGGTCATGTGACCCAACCACTCAAGACATTTTTACCATTCTTGCCTGGACATTTAGGACCATTTTACAGCTAAAAAGAGTCCTACAATATTCACCAAATATGCATATTCACCACCTCAAACCAAAGCTGATGTTTCATTTTGAATACAATGTGCGCAGTGCAGAGCCAACACTGTGAAACAGATGCCCTTTCAAATCGACAATCATGAGAATGTAAAATGTATTTTATCTCCTGAAATGTCATATTAAAAACACACTGTAATCAGGACTCTGTTTCTTCACATGTACCTACGATGCAGTCTTACATGTATGCTCTCTACCAGGGGGGTCAGAGGTCAATAGTGGGTCATGCTTCAGTGTCTTGCTCAAGGACACTTGAAAACAATGATACAAGGTCCAGTAGACACACCGTCTCAACCTGAGACCACCCAGTTCCTGAGACAGTCTCTCCAGCCAACAATACAACCTGCTTGTGCTGAATAAACAGTCAAAGCCTATAACTCTAAAGATAAAACCCAACCAAGCCATGCATGTACAACAGATGACTGATAGAGGCTTATTTTATGTGTCGTGAAAGAAGTCGTAAAACCAATTCATGATGACTCCTCTCCTGCAGAGACTTGGACTTGTTTTCTCTCTTGGATAGAATGAACATTACTTAATCAAAGGTTATGACTGAAATGTCTAAAATACAGTTCCTGGGCAAAGTGTTAGTGTTTGGCATCACAGAAAGACACACTACCTGGACTACGAGACAGGTCATTTTAAATGCATTGTAAACATGTTTGAACCGTACAGTACCAAGTTTTGCAGCTGTAAACGTATCCTTCTCTCTACTGACTGTTAAAAAGCATCAGACATGTACATATTCACACAGAAGAAACCATTGTAGAGGTTGCATTCACACATACAGTAAGTGCAGTTACACCATTTTCTTGGTTATTTTACCCTAACATAATTGGTGGAAATGTATCACAACTTAAAAGAAGAAGCAAAAAAAATACATTTGCTAGAAAAATGTTTGAATATTCATGAAAAAAAAATAGCATTTCCTCCAAGAAATCAAATGCAAAGTAAGAGTTCTACAATGGCTACCACTGCACATTAAGCCCCGCCCCCTTTCATTACTCACCGCATTGTAGCAGGACTTCTTGTTAGATCCTGTGAAGTGAAACGGGTCCACTGTGTGGCACTTCTGCATGTACAACTTGAACATCTTGTTGATGTGTTTCAGGGACATGATGCAGACGGCTGAGTTCGCTGTCGGCTCCGGAGAGTTCGGCTTCCCCTGAGCAAACGCTGCGAACAACACGTCGTCGCCTCTCTCCACCTTCAGCTGTTTCTGCAGCTCAACTTCATTCCCCACCTTGGTGACGTGTGCTGCCTGGAGGATGTTAAAAACCGTGTCAATTTCCGACGAGCGTCGTCGCCTTTTATCGGTGCTGATGCATTCGAGGGGCATCTCAACGTATCGGCGGATCACGCGGTCCGAGGAGCACATCCGGACGATGCGGGTGTGGTAGGCCTCGGAGTCCATGCTCACCCGCTGCACCGTCAGGAAGTAGGTGAACGGTCCACTGTGGAAGGAGTAAACATATCGCAGGTAGTAGTTTCCTCGTAGCGGCGGAATCAGGTCCATGTACGAGAGGTCTGAGTAGAAGGTGAAGCCGTTCTGGCTCGTCTTCATCTTCCGAAGAGAGATGGTATGGGGATGAGTTGCACTGTCCGATACGTTTCCTGTCCCTGGGATCTCAGAGTTCCCGACGAAGAACATGATGAAGTTGCTCTCCACATTAAGCACCTGAGAGCCTGAAGCACTCACAACAACATCCGAGTCGATGAGTTGACCTTTGCCTTTCCTCCCTTTGTCGGCGAAGCAGTAGACGTGTTCGTCAACGGTTTTCGGGCTATTGTCGTCATCGAGGACGTGACGCCGGCAAACGCCATTGTCCGCCGATCCGCAGCTGTACAACCCTTTGTCGTAGATGTTCTCCACCACCAAAGCAATGTTGTGGTTGTCCACCTTGCTGCCACTGCTAGCGCCTGTTAATGTCTGGCCACAGGTCTCGTTGGAAAGCAGCGGCCCCGTGTGGTATTCTGACAACTTTGTGAGGTTCGGTGCCAAGGCATAGATCCTGTTTACAGCCCCAACATAGATGATCCCATCCAGCGTCACCATGTTCTGGATCGGGAAGTCTGCCGTGAACGTCGGGAGCTCGTAGTTGACCGAGAGGTTGAGTTTATTGGTCTCGGGTGATTTATCACACTGGCCCTGCGCACTGGAGCACAAGACCCACAGCAGCATGACGGCATGAAGCAAGCGGGGATTCATCCTGTTCCAGAAATAAAAGACATGAGAAATTAGTGGGTAATATATCCCTTCTGGAACACAAAAGATTCCTCATGAATATCTTTGAATAGGTGGCCTCTATTGTCTGGAGTGAGCGGGAAAAGGCGCTGAAAAGGGACCACATGAGAAAAAGAAAGGGATATCTAAATCCCTTTTGAGACTCATAAATGGAACTGTGTCAGATTATGAAACCAGGGTTTACTCACTTCACCACAAGCAGTGAAAGCATTCATACTGAAGTGACTAAGAGTGATATGGTGACACAAAGCTTTAATATCAGCCTCCTAATCCTGGCTGCCTCTACTCCGGACTGCAATGACCCAAGACAGACCAGCAGTGGGACCTGGGTGAGCACTTCTGCGGCGCTCAGCTCCGTTCCCAAGTGACCACAGCGAGAGGCAGAGCAGTGAATCACCCAGAGAGCCACCACCAGCCTAAGTTTAGACAGCGAGGGCCCGAGGGAGCAGGGATAAACTTAATTAAAACAAAAGAGGCTGCAGGGAGACGGCAAAGGGGGACCATCCTGCAAAATGATAAATAACCCCAGCAAGTAAGTGGTAATCCACTGGGAGATGCTTTTAGAGGAGGGTGGGGGGGCGGGGGTCAAGGGAGAACAACACCAGAGAATTTGCAAAATGTGAATTTGCATGCTCCCCTATGTGCATGTGGTTTTAACACCAAATGCAAACCAAAACAAGGCAATAACGTCCAGCGCAGTGGCTTTTTCATTTATGCCCACAGTGTTTCATTAAATCTCTGAGATTCCCCGGGTGCACATTTAGACCAATTTAAAACGGATGTCTCACTGTTAGTACTTTCTTTTTTTAAGTGCCAGTAAGAGGAAGAAAGCTCAGGTTTATATTAGAACAGAGTTTCAGGAAGAGTTAAAAAAGGTGCATATTTAAAAACAACAACTCTCAAATATATTACTCCTAAGTGCCAATATTTAAAGGTGACTACGGGAAACCTATAAGAGGATTATGTAGAAAAAAATGATGAAAGTAGTGTAAATTTAGAATCTAAAATACATACACTATTGTTTTAAAGAACATTAACACCGTATTATAGTCAGTTTTATTTTATGAAGGACATAGTGAGATGAGTTCCGTCTTGTTTTGGTGTAAAATAATGAGTAATAGTTGGCATTATTGCGCACCTGCACAAAACACAATAAAAAGTTACTCCTCATGGCACAGCTGTGTTTTTTTAAAAGGGACAAAAGGCGGTGGGAAACAGTGAAAATGTTTTCAGTTTGAGAGGAAAGTGACTCATGGCGAAAGGTCTCAGAAAACACGTATGGGAAGCTGGTGAAATGGTGTCAACGAGCCTGAAAAAACATTTCAAAAACTGACTGTGATATCAGGAGAGGAGGAGAGAGTGAGGAGTTTCAGGGACAGGTTTGCTGCGTTTTTACGCACGGAATCAAAGTGTTACTAAAGTCAAGAACATGCAATGAATGTGGAATAAACTCACCTGTTCGAGAGCAACAGTGTAGTAAGTTCCTTTAATTCAAATCATATTCCGCTGGGCTCCTCAAGAGCGGGACTTCTTAACTTTCTCATCAAGTCCAAACTGATCGCCGGGATTTTCTATTCTTCTTCTCCGTGAAATGAGAAATTCCCAGAAATATAACTCCGATTATTTTCTTCTCAGTCAGATTTGTGGCTGTTTCTCACTGTAGTTACACTGTAGTTAGTTGATCGCCACCTGGAAGCTGTGAGTCTCACCACTGACTGCATCCAGCAGAAAACACTGACTGCATCCAGCAGAAACACGCTGCTGCTGCTGCCGCGCGCTCACTGATCCTCGCTCTGGCTGTGCATAAAGCTCCGCCCCCTTTCTCTCCAAACCCTGTGACGCGTCCAGGTGCTGCTGCGGCTCCTGGCTGTCTTCAGGTGAGACGAACCCACACAGGTAGGAAAGAAGGCAGATAGGAAAACCGAGGAAAGGGTAAATTATGAGATCTAGTTAGTGGTAATCATTCGGTACAGAACCGCCAATTACAACAGGAGCAGCCGGATGTTCAAAGACATTACATTTCAATCAGCTGAGGCGGTTATCCAAAGCGATTTACAATAAAGACAATAGACCATGAAGATACAAACTCATAACAAGAACAACAATCATGCAGATATATTCGTTTTTAAAAAAGCTGGGTGAGGTGAATTCTTTATATGTGTTGAAGGCACGTTTATTCCTAATGTAATGCCTTTTTTCTGTACAACAGCCGATGGTGGAAAAAGTACTCAGATAAAACTTTACTTGAGTGAAAGTAGCGATAACACAATGAAAAAATACTAAAGTCCTGCAATCAAAATCTTACTTTATTATGAGTAGGCTACAAAAGTGTTATAAAATATATGTCCCAAAGGTAAAAGTACTTGTTATGCGTAGTGTACTATATCAGAAACATATATAAATAATATTAATGACTTAACTGCTGGATATCTTAACCTATAATTATACAACAATGTTTATTTATTAGTTGATTTATTTGTATAAGCTAATAATCTGCTTCTGGAAAGTAACTAAATACATGTAGTGGACTAGAAGTATGAACTAGAATACAATAATAAAATACTCAGGTAAAGTACAAGTATCTCAAAATTATACTTGAGTAGATTTTTACTACATTCCACCTCTATTAATAACCTCATATAACTTGAAATGACTCGTAATTATCTATTTTCTGTTGTTTGATATTGTTGTTTGTGTGCAAACCTACACTATTATTAGCTGTTAACTCCTTACTCCTTCATTGGTTTGGAGGAACTTGGAGAATGCTTCAAACACACTCTGAAGAAAGGGCTTCAAACCAATGATTAAGCACATTTTACAGCACAACATGGGCAAATAATGTGCCTTGGCTGGCCATCAATAGAGCACCGATGTTAAACATTTAACAGAAAAGGTCACACAGGGAATTCTTCTCCAACTTCCACCTGACTCAGACTACTTGGGTTAGTCAAGTTAAAACGGCTCACTCAGCCGTGTGTGTGTGTGTGTGTGTGTGTGTGTGTGTGTGTGTGTGTGTGTGTGTGTGTGTGTGTGTGTGTGTGTGTGTGTTTGAGGGATTAGACAAAAGAGAGTAATAAAAGATGTAAGGAACTATACAAACAAAGGCCTGTATTACAACATAAAAGCAATAAAGTTGTTTCTTAACTTTTTATTTCCTAATGTGACACCATATTGTTTCCTTAGACTCCACCTTTGGTCACCTTTTTGTTTACCAGACCTGGCTCCGTATTTTCTCGTATGCAGAGGTAGATCAGAGCTCTCATCTTCCACTACCTACGTGTTAGATAAAGTCACTCCTAATGAAAAAGGAAATCAAAAGATTACAATCTCATACATTACAGGAAATGGTTTCTGCAGCAGACAGGCAACAAAAACAAAACTGTCAGTCAATCAGTTTCTGCTGCTGCGCTGTACTGTATCTGCACATCTGTCACAACAGCTCATATCGCAGAGAAGGACATCATAAACAGGATAAAGAAGCAGGGCCAACTCAGGAAAGTACAACCATGGCTTTTAGATTAGTCCTTTAATATCCTTGTGCTGTTTTACCAGAGACATGTAGCTCAGAAGGTTTAATGTACTTTAAAGAGTCCTCTCCTGCTGATGTTCAGGTGTATATCAGTATGTAGTGTCTCTACTTTAAAGAGTCCTCTCCTGCTGATGTTCAGGTGTATATCAGTATGTAGTGTCTCTACTTTAAAGAGTCCTCTCCTGCTGATGTTCAGGTGTATATGTAGTAGTGTCTCTACTTTAAAGAGTCCTCTCCTGCTGATGTTCAGGTGTATATCAGTATGTAGTGTCTCTACTTTAAAGAGTCCTCTCCTGCTGATGTTCAGGTGTATATCAGNATAGTAACAACACAACAGTAAGCAGGCAACATAGTTCATACATTACACAGTTTTTCTATTATTTTATTTTTGTTTACCTTTCAACAGGGTCCTAAGTGCTGGTCGCCTTTGACCCAGTTATGACCCTTGAACACGAAGCGGTGATTGGTGGTTTTAAGTGCCTCTACCACCTGACGAAAAAAGAACATGCTCACCATACGAACTATGCTGACCTTTTGGAGCTTGCAGAACTAACTTGGCTGCCAGTATGTTTGAGAAGTTAAAGGTAAAGTTAATGCTTTCTTTAATCAAACTTCATCACAAAAAAAGTGTGCAATTTTAATCTTTAAGTGCATTTGTTTCTTTAAGACTCGGGCAAGGACCAACTACACATCTCACCGAACCATCGATGAGATGTTAGAAATCCTGGGCACTGTCGTTGAAGAGCCTTATCTGGCAAAAGCATCAAGTGCTCTTGTGGCAATTGGTCTTTGAGGTGGACGAGACCCGACGATGTGTTCTGTGAAGAAAGCAGCTCGATGTTCACGGTATAGGTATAATTTTATTCCAAGAATGAACAACAATTAAGACTTATAAAATAATTTTGAATCACGTGTGTCTTTATTAATGTTTAATTATAGTCTTGCATAGCAGACCTAAATCTCCACACTTCGTTTACACTGTGCCAGCGCTGAGGAAAGTCTGCTGGACTCATTAACCACTCCGGGGAACAGGGCGGGCTCGGGGAAACGGCTCTAATTTTCTTTAAACCAATCACAGTTGGTTGGGCGGTTGCTAGCTTGTTGTTCTTTCACGTAGTCTGGATTGAATCTGATCGGGGCGACAACATATTCCACCGCCACTGATTTGGTAGTAGATAATAAACCAAATAAGGCTTATCCCAAAGACCTACATCTGTTGAGTCAGTCTGACTGTGTTTTAAGAGTTCCATCAGATACATGGACAGAAAATGGGCTGCGTTTACAGCCAATTTTCTGACCTGGGTGACAGTCAGCGATGCAGAGCTGACACCATAGTCAAGGCAATAAGACCAGAATCCTTCACAAAAAAGAACATTCCCACCCAGGAGGGATTTATTGGCCCTGGGGACAGATGGAGCAACCTGTTATGACTGGTATGAAACTACCCAACAAAACAAGGTTGATATTCACTGCAGCGTAAAACTAAAACACATGACAATAAAAGACATGGTTGTCCGTGAACAGGGAAGAGTGAATGGAGTGGCCAAGCAGGCTAACAGGACACCTTCCCATGGATTTGTGTCGGTTGCATGTGCCGCCACACCGGCTCGCCCTGTGTCTGCAAGGACGCCTCATCAGGAGTGGCTTACATGAACTCTTTCAGGACCTTCTACAGCAGCTACACCTGTACTTCCAGGACAGTGCGAATCGCCAGCTGGTACTCCAGGCGCAGCAGAGTGCTGTGGGCCTGGATTTAACTTTGAAAGTGAAGGTTAAATTTTAAAAGGGAAAAACATCTTCCATATTTGGAGGCACCTGATATTGACTTAATATTAGTCTTATCTTGTGCTCCTAAATATTTTTTAGGAAGTGAAGAGACAACACGCGGCTGCGCAAGCCAGCGTGTGTCCTTCACTCCTAAAAATATTTAGAGCCACAAGATGAAAGCAATATTAAGTCATATCAGGTGCCTCCAAATATGGAAGAATGTTTTTTCCCCTTTAAAATACCTTCACCTTTCAAGTTATCCAGGCCCAGCGCACTCTGCTGCAGCCTTGGAGTACACGCTGTGCGATTCGCGCATGTTCCTGAAGTAGCAGAGTGTAGCGCTGTAAGAAGGTCCCTGAAAAGAGTCATGTAAGCCACTCCTGATGAGGCGTCCTTGCAGCACAGGGCGAGGCGGTGTGCGGCACATGGCAACCGACACCCCTCCAGGGAAGGTGTCCTCTGTAGCTGCTTGGCCACTCCATTCACTCTCCCTGTTTCAGGACAAACATGTTTTATGCATTGTTTGTTTAGTTTTAAGCTGCAGTGAATATCAACCTTGTTTTTTGTTGGAGTTTATACCAGTCTAAACAGCTGCTCCATCGTCCCCAGGGCCCATAATCCTCTGTGTGGAATGTTCTTTTTGTGAGGATCGGTTCTTATTGCCTTGACTATGGTTGTCAGCTCTGCCATCGCTGACTGTCAACCAGGTCCCAGAAAATGGCTGTTAAGCAGCCCAAGTTTTGTCCATGGTTCTGATGAACATATTAAAACAGTCAGACTGAACTCAACAGATGTAGGTCTTTGGGATAAGCCTTATTTGTTTATTATTACTACCCAATCAGCTGGCGGTGGAATATGTTGTTGCCCCGATTCGATTTCAATCCAGAACTACGTGAAAAGAAACCACAAGCTCAGCAACCGCCAACCAACTGGATTGGTTAGAAAATAGAGCGTTTCCCCCGGAGCCCCCCTGTCCCAGAGCTGGTAATTGAGTTCCAGCCAGGACTTTTCTTCAGCGCTGGCACAGTGTAAACGAAGTGTGGAGATAAGGTCTGGCTATGCAAAGACTATAATTAAAACACATAATAAAGACACGTGATCAAAATTAATTTAAGTCTTAAATTGTCGTCATTCTTGGAATAAAAATTATAACCTAACGGTGAACATCGAGCTGCTTCTTCCAGAGCACATCTGTGGTGCTCGTCACAACCTCAGACCCAATTGCCACCAGAAGCACTGAGATGTTTGCCAAGATTAGGCTCTCAAGCGACAGTGCCCAGGATTTCTAACATCTCAATCGGATGATTCGGTGATGAGTGTGTTAGTGGTCCTCCCGATCTTAAAGAAAACAAGATGCACTTTAAGATATAGATTTGCACAACTTTTTTTGTTGATGAAGTTGATTAAAGAAAGCAATTTAACTTACCTTTAACTTCTCAACAGATTCATGGCAG